TGAGTGGAAGAGAGACAGTGCTTGATGGAACAGCCTTTGCTCTGCTAGGGCCGACAGGATTGCGTTCCAGGACGCGAGATTTAGCTCCGGCATAACGTTGACTAAATTCACTGCTTCTTCCAAATGCCCGTTTTGGGCATATGCACAAAGCAGCGCGTTCCAGCTAACAACATCCTTTTGCGGCATGCTATCGAACGTCACCTTTGCTTGCTCTGTTTTGCCATACATCGCGTAGATTCCCACCATTGCCGTCCACGATACCGCACTCCTTTGCGGCATAGAGTGGAACATTCGCTCGGCCTCGTCAAGATTCCCTGTTCTGGACAATGCCACCACCATTGCGGTAAAAGCGACGAAATCTCTCTCCTGGAGCTGCTCGAAAACTCGTCTCGCGCATACGATGTCGCCAATCTCCGCAGAAGCAACCAGCACTGCAGTTCCAGCCAAGAGATTGAATTCTGGCATTTCGTCCCAGAGATCAATAGCACGCCTCCAATGCCCGTTCTGGGCATATGCAGTTACCATTGCAGTCCAGGCAACCAGATCCCGTAGAGGCATCATGTCGAAGATGGCTTCCGTTTCTTCGTTTCCACCGTACGTGGCATACGCGCTGAGCATTGACGTCCAGGCAACCAGGTTCTTGCCGGGCATAGCGTCGAATATTCGCCTGGCATTGAGAATATACCCGTTATGGGCATATGCCGAAAGCATCAGCACCCACGAGAAGCAGTCCCTGCGGTGCCCGATCGCGTCAAACACGCGGCGTGCGGATGCAACGCTGCCGCACCTTCCGTACATTTCAATCGCCTTGTTGAGCAAGAAGATGTCCGGAGGAGAAGGGGCGGAGAGGAGAGAGTGATGGATGCGATCTGCGGTGGAAAGATCTGTGCATGATTTGAGCAGCGTGATCGTGGTGGCTCTATCAAGCATATAGATTCTTTGCTAAGGAAACATTCTTGTTGTGAGCGCCGAGGATGTCAAAAGTGGTTTTCAAGGTGTGGGATTTGACGTTTGTGGACGTCGAGACGAGCCTCCGGGAAAAGACGCTCCACAAACTACCACGCCTCGTCCAGTGGGGTTTCTTGTGTGGAACAATGATGACCAGCGACGAAGGTTGTACACCTCTTGGTAGCTACTTGACGTTGACGGTGCGAGACGTGCAAGCAGCAGCTGCCCATGCCCAATAGGGGTCTGATCCTGTCGCCTAGTAAGATCCTCCTCGGAAGCGCCAGTCTTTCATGAGCGCTCGGGAGGAGGCTGCCACCGGCAGTCGTACAGAGATGATCGGGAGGTTGACCTTGACATGTAGTCCTTTGATGACAATGCAAATGAAAAAGATTGCTTGGTTCATTAAAAAAGAACTATAATATATTAGTTTTAATCTTTATTCAAAGTGGTGCAACTTTTGTTTGCAAATTTATCATATTAGAGTTATGAAAGATAATTATTTATTGAATATTTGGTGGCTATCACAGAGATATACTTGAGGTGCTAGCAGGCAATCGTGGCAGTGTTGGTTTGGAAAGTGGAGGTAGCAAAGTGGAGCAAAATAAGCATTCTTTCTAGAACACTCATTTTTTACTGGCTGTGGTTATAGGTTTTTCCTTAAGTCTTAATTTATTAATATAACTTTATTTAATAATTTGTCGTGGAAAGGTTAAAATAGTATTTTAAAACGATAAGGAGAGTGGCATAACTTGCGTGCTCATTGGCTGAGGCGAGATAAGATGGACCCTAGCACGTGTTTAGGGTGTGCTTGTGTGTTCCTTCACCCATTTGTAACCACAACTGCCAAAGTGGCTCTGTTAATTGGAAAGATTTTATACAGCCCGGAGAAAGGTGAATCAATGGTGGAATATAGCCAGGGAATTGAAAATGACAGGCATGAAACCTGATTGGATGGAGGTGGAGTATGGGCCTTATGGCATCCAGAGCTGGAGCAAGCCTTCAACACTCCCAGAACCATAAGAGAGTTTGGCTCCAGTCCCTGTTCTTCTAAGAGAAAGAACAAGCTCAAGGCGAGTTCTTCCTTGTGGTCCTCTATCATCACGAGACAACGCTGTGATATCTCATCCTGTACAAAGCTTTGCGAGCATCCACATGCTCCCACACTTGCAATGCATATCAACCAAGATGTTCCTCAAAGCCATAGCTTGGAAACCCATCCACTGCTCACGGCTTGAGCATGGAGATCCATTGTCTTCTCTAGAGCCGAAACTTTGATGAGCTTCCCATCGAGCTCCTCACCTTCTTCTCAAGCCACCAAGTCTTGAAAGCAGTGACTTAGCTCACATCATCCACTACACAGCTGCCTCCTTCAGCTCTATCCTGTCCACAAACTTGAGAGCTAAATCTTCCTGCCGTTCTCTACATAGCCCAGCATTAGAGTGTTCCAGAAGAGAAACATAGGACACACCATGGCATCAAAGATCTTGCAAGCTTCTGCCATGTCTCCACACCTGGAGTACATGTTGATAAAGCTATTTGCCCCTAAGGGACCCTACCTCGCCATGAAGCCTCTTCCCCTCTTGCAAGTCTCTTGAGGTGCTGCATTCTTTCAATGCGGGGTACCTTGGTTTGATGCCAAACTATGACTTTAAATACCAAGAAACAAAAACAAGCATTGAGAAGAAAAAGCAACAGACCAATTGACCTTTTGTGGATAGCAAGCGTGCCCTATGCAGATGAAGTGATGTCATTTTCTAGCTGGATCCTATGACAGCTGGACTCTTCCTTGCCTGGTGATTGGTTCAGGCTCTTGATTGGCAAACCGGGTCCTTTGGGCTTCTACAATGGCGGTGGTTGTCAAGAGGCAATGGAAAACATTTGGGTGACAATTTCCCTCTATTTGGGGGGCTTAGAGCATTCACATGCCAGTCCTCTGCTATGTTTATAGATAGAGATAGGGTGCAATTGCTTTGGAAGGGCTGGAGCTCTTCAGCAAGTTCTAATCCAAAGTGTTCCACCAAGAGTGATTAGCATTGGTGCATTTTGTAAATTTCAGCAGTGGAAATTTGGATTTGAGACAAACAAAACCATATATGGTAAGTGCATTACTATTTTGTGATCATAGCTAACTTCTTGGAGCATGATGCAAGAGCTGAGCAATTACCACAGCCACTACAACTTATAAGCACTAAGCTATGGTCATAAGGTCTTTCAATTGAGGAGTTGATCAAATAGCAAACACAACTAACCTCAAGAAACCTCAAGAAACCATTAGAAATGACATGAAATTTGAAAATCACCCAACATCACTTGGGCAATTACTTAGTAATATAATAAGGTGATAGTATTAAAGCAAGCATTATAGTTTAGATATTCTACCATCTTGGGAAAATTTATAAATTGTAAACATGATTAAAAATATACAAGACAAATCTAAATGAATACCAACCATTCTTCTTAGTATATTTTAGTTTATTCTAGCATGATATGCAATACGATTAATCTTGTATTTAAATTAAAAAATGCATATAATTACTGGAAAACTGGATTAACAAATAGAAATAAACAAGAATAAAACTACTATTAAGAAAAAAAACAGCATTGTTGCATGAAAAATTATTTTCATGAATAGCAAAAATTCTAAACAGAAGAAGAATATTAAGAAAGAAACTTTTTAATAATTTTATTTAGACTAAAGTTTGTTTATGATGAAGAAATAAATCCAAATCCTGTTTACATATGCTAATACAAGATTGATAAAAATAATTATTTTAAATAAATAATAATTATAAATGAATTAATCTTGTATAAGATCCTAACTCTATAATTATGATGTTAAATCTTGTGTGAACTATCTTTATCAATTATTATCTTTCTCAACATATTTTTAAAATATATGTTAGTTGCCAAAAATATTATGAATTCCAAGAAGTGATATTTTGTGGTATTGAAACAAGGAAATATCAAAGATTAAAATAAAGTGTAAAGTCTAAATGCGATTTTTGACTTTTCCATTATATTTTTATTCTCCTTATAAAATTTCTTAGAAAATAGTTTATTTCTTTAATTTGTAATGAAGATAAACTTTGAATTTTATTGAATTATTGATGTTAAATATAATTATATTAGTAATAAATACTTTTAAACTCATCGTGGCACCATGGTTGAAAATTAATATTAAATCTTGATCACTAACAAATTATAAAAATGTTTTAGAGTGTTTCAGATCAAAGTGGAAATTTTTTATTTAAAATGATGATTTGATAGATGTACTGAATATAAAAAATAAAATATAGGATGATATGTTTTATAAATTGTAAATATTAATTTTTATTTTTATTAATAGTTTTTATATATAGCACCTCATTTTACTTTTTTCCTAAATATTGATATATATAACTATAATTTGAGAAGTTTTTTGTACAGTTACTTGTGTAAAATTATTAAATATTTATTACTTTGTAGTTGATTTAAAGCTACTTAATTTATTTTTCTAATTATTATTCAGTTGATCAGTATTTCTTTGTCATCTTTCTTGTTTCCTAAATTTGATATAAGTACCTAATAAAAAACTTATAAGTTTATTAGATGAATAAATTAGAGTAATATTATAAATTCAACATAAAATTATAATTAATTTATTTAAAAAATTATAAAACTTTCATTTTTTGTTGTTGTGTTTTAACTTATGTATCATTTCATGATAATTATTCATAAATTTTTTTTGGGCTGCTAAATTACTATATAAAATTATATTAAATTTATATTTTATACTAATATTTAACTTTTCATGGCATTTGAGAATATAAAAATTTCATGTTGACAATTAAAATTCTTTACTGATTGTTCAGTAGCAATCTATACTTACATAATGCTAGTTATTATTTATATTGAAAATAGAATAATAATATAACATATATTTTAACCAATGCAATTTAAAAACTTTATATCGAAAAAATATAATAGTAATAAATACCATTAAACTTTTTAAATTTAGCTTTATATATGAATAACTGGCTGGGGGTTTTATAGTTAGGGTTAGGGCTTTATGGTGGAGCGAGGATGGCAACAGCAGCAGCGGGCGAGTACCACAAGAAGCGCAAGCGCGGCAAGAACTGGAGCAACCAGGAGGCGATCCTCCTAATCGAGGCCAAGGACGCCACCAGCCGCGAAGGTATGGGCGCCTCGGCCAAGTGGCAAGCCGTGGCGGATCACCTCGAGAGCCAGGGCGTGCTGCGCGACGTGGAGCAGTGCCGCAGCAAATGGGAGAACATGCTGGGCGACTACCGCTCCATCCTGGAGCACGAGAGGCGCGGCTCCTCCTCCTACTTCGCGCTCACCAAGGAGCAAAAGAAGGACCTCCGGCTGCCCGCCAAGTTCTCGCAGGATATGTTCCAGCTGCTCCAGCGCACCGTGACGCGCGGCGAGGCGGACATGGACGCTCTCCCCGTCGTCAATGCCGCGGCTCCTTTCGTCCCCGGGGATAGCTTCTCCAGCGAGGAGGTGCCGGGGCCGGGAGAGACGCCATCGCTCCTCCAGTTCCGCGAGGTTGGATCATCCGGGACTGGTGCTACTGCTACTGCTACTGCCGATCCCAATCCTCCAGCTCCTCATGCTGCTACTCCGAATGCTGCTGCTGCTACTGCGACCACCAAGAGGAAGCTTAGATCGATCGCTGCGGAGCCGGGGAGTGGATCGTTTGAGCTGGTTGCCAAGGCCATCTCCGAGTCCCAGGAGAAGATCCTGGCGTTTTTGCAAGAGCGGGAGGAGAGGAGGATAGAGATCGAGGAGAGGAAGCTGTCGAGGATGGACGAGCTGTTTGAGCTGCTCAGCAACATGGCTCACACCTGGAAGACGCTGAGCGAACGGATGCTTGTCAACAGCTCGAGATGAGCGTCGAGTCTTCTTCTATTTTTTGTTCCCAGTGCCGACACCACTGCAGTAAGTTATGTAGGTCTCTAACATACAGAATTTTGTCTCCTTTGTCCTCTCACAAACAGTGTTGTGTCACTCCCCCACAGCAAAGTTTTACGTAAATTTCACACCAAAAAACTTAAGAAATTCATGTGGAAGTTTTTATGGAGAAGAAAATCTGTCGATCTGATTTATTTACAAAAGCTTTTAAGACTTTCCACCAAACTCACTTCGAAAACTTTCCCAAGAACTTCAAACAAAGAAGTTTTGTGAGAATCAAAGATGTGACCTGTGGTTGATTTCTCCTCATAGAAAAGTCTGACGTACAGATAGAATGAGTAGAACTCTTTCTATCAACTTCTCTCAAAACTTGAGAAGCTCACGTTTTCGAGAAAAAGGGAAGGAAAATCCGTGGATCTGTGATTGATTGATTGATTTTAAGTGTTGCTGCCTAAGCTAGCTAGCATTTTCTTCCCTACGCTGCATCTCCTCTTCATCCTCGTCCTCATCTTCGTCCTCGTCCTCCTCATCCTCATCCAAACTCTCGCGACGAGCAGCTTGATCCTCCTGACTAATGTTCAGATTAAGCCCTGCATGCGGCTGCTGAACCTGAACCTGAGCCTGAGCCTGCACCTGCTGCTGCACCTGCACCTGCACCTGCATCTGCACCTGCTGCTGAATCTGCAGCTGCTGCTGCTGGTTGCTCAAGTTGAGCGCCTTGAGCGCCGCGCGCTGCTTGTCCGACTTCTCCCTCCTCTTCGGATCCGCGTAGTAGCGCACGAGCGAGTCCCACTGCTCCTGCGACACGTCGCTGGGCCGGCTCGACCCCTGCTCGATCATCCGCATCACCTTGTGCCGCCGGAAGTTGAGCGCCTTGGCGACCTGCTTCTTGAGAAACGCGTCGTCCAGGCTGCCGCCAACGTACGTGAACTTGGAGTCCATGTAGTCGCGTATCCGGACCATGCCTTCCTCCGGCTGGAGCGCTATGTGCGGGATGGACACGTCCAAGAAGAGCAGCGCCGAGTGCCGCAAGATCGAGTTCCACCATGTCCCGGTTGCTCCAGTCGGCTTCCCGTCGATCAGAGTTACGTTAGTCTTCTCTCCCTCCACCGCCGCCGCCGCCGCCGCCGCCGCCGGCTGCTTGCTTTCTTTCTTCGATGATGGAGGAGTGGCGAGTGCCTCACACCGGTTCTCAAAACTTTGTGGAATCGCGGTAGTGAATGCTTCCGGCTGCTGCTGGTGCTGGTGCTTCTTCTGCGAAGACCACACGATCCGAAACTCCTTGTCACTCTCTTCCCCTTCTTGGAGAGACCCCTCCTCGTCGTTGCCGCCGTCGTCGTTTGTGTCGTCCTCGGTGCTGCTCGAGGATTTGCAGTCTCGATAAGTTTGCTGCTGCTGCTGCTGTTCTTGCCCATGTCCCTGCTGCTGCTGCTGGAAAAATTGCTGCTGGTACTGTCTAGAGCTACTGGAGAGTGTTAGTTCCTGCCTAGCGGACGAAGAATCCCACACCGGAGCGGGACTTTGCTGCTGGTGGTGTTGCTGGACTTGTCCGTAAGAAGAGCTTTGCGGTTTCTGGTGATAAAAACTCGGCTGCTCGCTCGCTGGAGCCTGGAATCTACTGTAAGGAGGCACCGCATCGCTGCTGTAAAACTCGCCACCGCTGCCACCTCGACCATTGTTATTGCTCGCGGCCCTGTTGTTAAAGTCCGAGGGTGACGAGGAGGAAACTCTGCGAGCTTGACGGGGGAGAGATGCCGTGGAAGAACACGAACCCGAGTCCATGGCCTGCGAGTCGGACGACGACGACGTCTCAGTGTCCGGCGGCCTCGTCAACCTGTTTACTATCGAGCGAGCCTTGTTCGCTCCTATTCTTTTCACTACCTCCACGAACAGCGCCTTCAAATCCCGCTCGTAGCTATCCGGGTTGGTCCTCTTGAGTCCCTTGATTATGTCACGTATCCTGTTCTTCCTAGTGCTCGCGCCGTGGTGGCTTCTATTCGAGGCTCGACCGTTCAGAGCTGGTGTTGCCGCTGGAGCTGGCTGTGGAGGTGGTGGTGCCTTCCGGATCATCGTACCTCTAGCCTTTTTCTTCCAAGTTTTTCTCGGCGGTGGCGGCTTCTGCTGCTGCTGCTGCTTGCTGTTCCATGCCCTGCTATCCGAGATATCCTCACTCTCGGTACTAGCATCGTCTGTGATGGTCTTGGACTCGCTACTTCTATCCTGTAAATCAGTTCCCGGTTGCGTTGGCATCAATGCCAGCTGATGGTGAGGCCGCCACTCGATCATGTGTGTCTCTGGAACAAGCTCCTGTGAATACCTGAAAAAGCAGAAAAGAAAGAAAGAAAGATTCCAACTTTGTTAGAACTCACGAGAAAAACCAAGGAGAAGTATACGTACGCTGGCATCCGAAACTTGTCCGTGAGCCCTGTAGCGGTGGCAGCTGGGTGGTGGTGGTGGTGGTGGTGTGGCGGCGGCGGTGGTGGCGGAGGAGCCAAGTGGGGGTGGTGAGGAGTAAGCATCAGTGAGCTTTCGTACATTCTCGTATTTAAGTTGATGGCGTCGGATGGAAGCCTGAGAGGCTGCCGCATTGGAAAACCTGACATGTAACCTGATAACCAATGAGACGAGAAAACCAACAAGACAGGCAAACAAGAGAGAAAGGATAAAAAACTCTTGGAGAAACAAGAAAAAAAGGACAGGGAGCTCACCACGAAAAAGACAGCCAGCTAAACAAGTCACGCTTTGGAAACAGTCAAGCAAAATGAGGGAAGAAAACGAAGAAAATCCAACCCGGGACAAGCAGGACACGGACAAACACACAAAAAAGGAAACGAGAGATTTTTTGTTACCTTGTTGAGGTTCGGGCTGCGAGAATTCCGGAAGAAACAAGGTCCCGTTTGGAGGTGAAGTTGCGGCGGCGATCTTGGAGGTGGCGTTGGCTTCGTGGTGATGGTGGTGGTGGTGGTGATGGTGATCGAGCTTGGATCTCTTGCCTTTGGAGTCGACGTCGGTGTCTACCTCGGACTCGCCATCGTTTTGCTGCATCTGCTTTTGCTTGCGCTTGGCTCGAGCCTTTCGGTTGTGGAACCAGTTGTGGACGTTGGCCTCCGTAACATCACCTTGGCGAGCGAGATCCACGGCGATCTCTTTGATCCGCTGCTTGTTGATACTGTCGCCCTCCTCCTCGAACAGCCGGACGAGCATCCGGAGCTGCTCCTCGTTCGGTTTCCATCGAACTTTGACGACGGCGGGAGGCAATTCTTGCAAAGCTTGCTGCTGCTGCTGCTGGTAATGGCTTTCCTCCATCATCTTGGGATCTGGTCATTGGAAAAACGAGAAGAAAAAAACCGTCTTTTTGAGTGTGCTTTAAACAACTTGCCTTGCTCAACTCGTTCGCATCCTCAGGCTCCGCATTCTCGGCAGGAAAACTAGGAAGAGAAAACAAACAAGGAAAAATTTAGTCCGGAATGGCAGAGATCCCCAAAACTCTCCGAAGAACACGAGCAAGAGAAAAAAATTCTCTTTCTTTTCTCCACGGCCCAAGAAAGAGAGAATGATACATGATAATGGCCCAGTCTCCTATAGAGGAAGAGAAAAGAAAAGCTGGCCTATATAATAGGATCGAGGGCGTTATCGATGGCACCGGCCCACACAAGTGAAAATCCATCACCACGCACAAATGCAGGTTAGAAATCTCATCACACTCCCAGCAGCCGGGCAAAAATTCGCGAGCAAATCCACGAATCGCCCACGAAAAGAAAAAGAAGCGAAGAAAACAAACCAAGAACACACCACCACCACCAAAAAAAATTCATTGTTTTGATTCGAGGGAGAGAAGAGAGGAAGAGAAAAAAAAAACCCCCAAGCAAAGAGGAGAGAAAAAAAAGGAGACGGTGTGGATGCGTAGCTAACCTGGAAGATTGGCGATCGATCTATCGAATCAGGCGGCGCCGCCGCCGGTGGTGGCGAGCCCCAATCTTTGCCCCGATCCGCCACGACCCAAGTCACCGAAATTCGATCTCATCTATCCCACGGCCTCGCGATTGCGGCGCGGTGGAGAGGAGCTGGAGCTGTGCGTCGGCCATGGCAGCTCTCTGTCGCGCGCGGCACTCTAAGCCGCCATATCCAAGTACTCTACCCGTGCGGGAATTTGGGCACGGCGATTCCAGGCCAGAATCTCCGCCCATCACGCATTCCGGACCGACGGATGGACGGCATCCACGAGCAGCTTAATGCTAATCATGGTTAGCGGCCTGGGCGCTAATTCCAACGTTGGTAAATTGGGGCTTTTAACCCCGGGGCAGGTTTAACCGACACCAGCGGTCACTGTCAGGCGTACGAAAGCGTACACCCGCCGGTCAGCGCGCCGTACCACATTGCATTCATTGTCGCGTATAAACGAGCGCGATTAGCTGCTAATAATCAATCACGCAGGGACTGCGCACGCATTGGCGATTATTTAATCTTTAATTAAACCGCTTCCATGCTTAACGTGAAAGACATCCAAGCAAGCGATCTATCTGGGTGGTTGTACAGTATGCGTATGCGATTGGCCAAGTATATTATACATTATATTGTACGAAAGATGGCGTAGCTTTTCCGGTATTTGCCGCTTGGGCGGCCAGCACTCTTTTCCCGAGTTTGGAATGTGGAATGGGCCCGACATTCATGCAAGAAGCGTTCCTCATTAAGTACGGACGAGTGTGGGCCATGGCCGAATCTTGTGTGAAGCCGTACAAGGGCAGGAAAGTAAATTAGGGCAGAACTGGTCAAGTTTAGGGCTCTTGATTGACCCTGACCATGGCGGCGCCGCTGGTGGAATAAGCGGCGCCGCTGGTTCTCTGCAGCTCGCGTCTAGGGCTTTTATGGCGCGGCCATCGCCGTCGTCCTGGCGGTTCTTGCGCCTTGCGTACTACATCCGTCGCCCCTGGATCGTGGCGCTGATGCTCGTCGTGCTGCTGTGCACGACATTTATCATCTGGGATCGCCGGTCGCTGCGGAGTCCGGTATGTAATCTGGCACTAGATCGCTAGATCGATCGATGTGATCGCGAAATTCAGCTGCATTCTGGGGTCTTATGAGTGAAATGGGGTGTTCCAGGACGATACCTCCACTTCGGAAGAGGATTTCTTCGAGGTACTTCAGAGTTTTTTTTCAGAGGCACGAATTTTACTTAATCACACTACAGTTGCAGAGAGCTCGTCCTAAGAACACGAATGAAGCTT